ATATTAAGGGAAATATATTTCAAATTAGATACATAAGAAGACCTTAGTTATAATATGATTCAACATCTGATATTGCTGAATTTGAATTTGCACTTATACTAGAACATGTTTGTAAGCTTGAACCTATGTAAAGTCATAATTTGAACTCAAAAGTAAAATTTTGTATAAGATCATATCTAAGCCTGAACTTCTGATAAAAGCAAATCTATTCCTGAATGTAAAATGACCAAATCAAGTTTATTTTAGTTTAATTGAGCAAATTGAGAAAGTATTATTAGCATTATCCTTTTAATGAATGATCAAACTAAAATCGATTTTATTTATTGTTCTTGATTTCTGAATTTACAAATTCATAAAAAAGCCTTATGAAGAGAGTTAAATTGTGTCAGCATTTCAGAAGATTTATTCATGATGATAAATTTAAAGGAAATTTGGAATTTAAAACTAATATATATGGCCAAATCTAAAGTGCATAATCCATCATGATTAATATTAAATTATTTAGGTTAATTTGCTTGAAAGGTCATCCATACATAAAAACATATCACATTTGTTTGGTTCTTTTATATTTTAAGTTTTTTTCATTTCTTACCCAGGAAATAAGCAATTGTATATTCATTAGTATTGTAAGTAAGTATATTAATATTTTAACAATTTCATTGTTTCTATCATGAAATATTAGTCATTTTCGTAGTTGAATGACAATAACAATGCAAAATATGCTTGAAAGATTTGGAATTCATGTGGAATTCAAACTGCTTAATAAATAATAGTTCATATAAATATTGAGAAACTTTCTACAGAAGCCATCAAAAAATTAGGTGCTAAAAAACAATACTTAAAATCATGCATCACATGAGGATGAATGCTTAAAAGTTAGAAATTCAAAAAGTTATGGTATCAGTTTAATTTTCAATGAATAACATATATGAATAAAATTTGAGACATGGCATATGCCAACAGATTAAAGACACAATTCAAAAAGTTATGGACTACGAAAAGGCAATTATGAATAAAATTTTAGATATGGCATATGCCAACAGATTAAAGACAAACATTCCATCTCAGGTCATGGCATGAGTAATGTGACTGTTAGTATTGCAAAATCACTTAGATTAACCACGTCAAATACATATGATAAGACCAAAGGTTTTGTGTCGAGCTGCCATTTCACTATTTTGTTTTTTAGAAAGATGTCATGGCTCAATTTGACTATAATTTTCTAACTAATTTTTAAAAAATTTTAAGGTGAAAAGCTGCTAAGTTACAAACATATCCACTAAAAAGTGGCGGCGGTGAGAAAATTAATATCCAATTTAAAAAAAAAAATAATTCATAATACTCACAATAACTTTCTAAAATTTTGCTTTCCTTACAACAGCTCTGTACCTACTTTACAAACAGCTACAACACCCAAAATGAAATGAATCCTAGGTTTAAGGATGGAGATAAAAATTGTGGTTAACTAAGAAACTTTATTTTTCAAAATGAAGATGTAGTGACTCATCAGTTCTTCTATCTCCATTTAAGAAATTTCATAGGTTTAGAGGCCAAATGATGCTCGATCCATGTGTAATGCACTAAAAATAGCATAGCAATACATTCTTTCTAATTGAGAGGCCTCAACTTCTCCTAGATTCCTAGCCTATATGCTAATGCACTAAAAATAGCATAGCAATAATTGCTAATAAGTTATCACTATTAACATTATCTGATATTTTTCAGCCTGATCCATTATACAGTGTATGTTTGAGGTTGTCATGAGGATACAAAGCTCTGTACTCTAAACCTTTCTGAGAAGTAAAAGTCTTTAGCCACATTAGGCTAAATAAGGACAGGAAGAAATGAAGTTTTGCTGAGAATTCAATTGCTTATGCACTCGACTTTATTTCTGCTAATTTAACTTACACTCTTCTTTTACCTACATATCAACAATTAAAGTATTAAGAAAATAGTTGACATTCATTCTATAGCACAACATTGATTACAGACGAAAATAGAAACTTTACCATCCTTTACAACTGCTACAACATCCAGTTCCTCTAGATTTCCCCTTTTTTATGAAGTTCATTTTATATTTTAAATAGCAGGTTATACAACATCTCTAATTTAAAACAAGGTTTTAAAGCTTATTTTCAATTAGCCAATAATAAAACTTTTAGTTTCAGTTTCAACAGTTTTATCGATTTCAGAATTTGATTTTGACTTTAGTTTTGAAATTTTTTGTTATTAAAATGTATTTAAGGTGTGAAATAAAGAGGATTGCCTGATTGGAGCTAAAAATATGACATACATAAAATTTGATGGGATGTCATCAATATAATTATAGTAAAATTTTGATGAATTTCAAGAGTTTTAGTAAAGTATTGTTCAAATTTTATAAGTTTTCATTGAAACTTTTGAGTTTGTCCAAATCTTCATTAAAACTCTAAAAACCTTTGAAGCTTAAAACTATGAATACAAGTCACTTGAAATAGATAATACATATAATTGCATTAGGTAATTTAGTGAGTCATGTGAGTTTATAGATTATTAGGCTTATTAGGCTACTTAATAGGTTACACCATTAGTGCTGGCAACCACTAGTGAATTACACCTCTGTCTCGATTCATCAAGATCCAACAACGTTTCCTTGATCCACCTAGATTCAGCCACGAATCATCACACTGGCCTAGATCTAATCACTCATATGTCTGCCTTTTCACTTCCATAGCCGCTAGTTCTAGCACTATTTGCTTCCCAAAACCCCTTAGCACCAGATCCCAACATCAACTGCTCCTATGCATTGTTCCTGGCCTTATGCCACCATCAATGGCCAAATCTGCCTACACTTTGTAGTCACCAAGCCACCTCAATGCTAGATCCACTCAGATTCAAGATGTCTAACTCAATTTTGTCAAAATTCATCCATATTAGGGGTTTATCCAGCTTGAACTCGACTCGCTAACGAGTCGAGCTTATCGAGTCATGAGTTTGATCCCAAATTTGAGCTCATATATTACAAACTAGCTCAAGTTTGGCCTGGTTCGGCTCATCAGCATGTCAAGCCAACTCGATTAATATCAACTGACACATTAGCATTTATATTCTAGCAAAATAAATCGCTTATTGTCCCAATTTGAAATTCATTCATGCCTTTTCAAGTACAATTAGCAAATTGGGGCTCCTGTCTCAAGCTCACATGATGCGATCAAGCGATCACACCACATGATGCAGTCAAGCGATCACGCCCAACACCTATTAGATATAAACTTTTGTTTGCCCTAGGTCTAATCCCTATGTCTATTAAAACTTAAGCCACAAATCATCTTCTCTTATAATTCACAAACCTTAACATCTACTCCCTTCATGCCTCTGGCTTGTCACTCCAAATCTCATTTTTCAAGCCTGTAAGAGTGGAGACAGACTATGATTCAATTCTGAAAAGGAGGAAGGCTGCTTCTTCTTTAAAGTATAAGCCACTCCTCTCATTTATTTCTTAATTTAAGGATTTCTATTTTTTTACAAATATTTTTCCTAAAATCAAAAAGCAAACTAAAATCAAAGAGCAAGTATGATTATTTTCAATTTATTTCTCTTTTTTAGACATTTATTTCTCAATTGCTTGCATGCACCACTTGAACTTCAGGTTTTAATCTATTTTTCTCTTCATATTGTTTTTTTCATTCATATCAATATAAGAAACCAAGCTCCAAAAACGAGTCAAGCCGAAGCTTTCTTATCAAACTCGTCCATTCAAGTCGAGTTCAGTCCTCATATTTTCACTTGAGCTCGAGAACTATGTATAAATTAAACGAGCTTGGCTCAATTAAGCAAGAACTCAAGTCATTTATAGCCCTACTACATACCCACTTACAACATCATCCTCCTACATGGACTCCACACACCTTCCCCTTAAACGCTACAATTTGGATCTCATATGTCTCAAACCATTGCAGCCTTCCAACCAATGGCACAAATTTCAATAGATTTTATCATTTTTTTCAATCATTTATCTTTGCTTGAACTCAAGGGCAAGGTCAACATCAAGGGGTGCAAAACGATATGCATAATCATAACAGAGTAGCTTAGCGAATCATGTGACTTAATAGTTTTTTAGGTTTCTTAATAGGCACTTCTTGGCCATGCATTGCTATAAATACTAGTCCTTGGGGGAAATTAGGGCATCAAGAAACAAGCAAGAAGACAGACTCATTCCCTCTTCCCCCAAAATTACCTGGTGTTGCAGACATATTATATTGCCTAAATCCCTTCTCCAATCCCTTTAACTGGAGCTTTAGGCAAGCTAGTAATCATTTTAATGCAATGTTATTATGTATTTTTTTTCTATGATTTCATGGTTTTGTTTACAACATGCAAACTAGTTCTTAAAACAATTGTTTTTAAGCAATTTCATGTAATATATTAATTTTGATCATGATAAGGTTCGTGTGCGATATTATATTTCCTTGTTCAGTAGAAGCATTTGATTGTGTCAGAAGGAAACATCAAATGATAGTTTTAGCATCATAAATTTTAAATAGGGTATACAAGTTTATAGATGGGATGAGCATGGTAATTTAGTAAACGCGATGGTTGCTATCTCGTGAACATGAATATGGTATAGAAAGACTCCATAACAAGAGCTAAGAAACAATGCAACATAAGCTTCAATCGGAAACAGATGGCACGGTTATGGACTGCCTGGCACCAGCAATGCTATCAAAGATAAGTTCGAATGATTTCAGAGCCTGGTTTTGTTTTTACATTTCAACTTACATTACCATTTGAAGATTATCATGCAAAACAATCGCAAGGTCAGAGAAAAACATAGCATTGAAGATATCGCTTACCAATGATCCAGACTAAAAACCCTCGAATTTCATTAAAAAGGACACTTAAAGCTCATTGCCGGAGAAAACTCAAGATTTAGAGAAAAACTAGAACCGAAAACCCTCCGCATCTAGAATACCAAAATTTAGATCCTAAAAAAAAAAAAAATTAGCAAGGTTCACCCATACCTCAAGCCTCCGCATCACCCCCAAGCGGAACCGAAAAGATCTCCCGCACTGGCGAGAACTCCACTAACCCAATATCCATCGCGTAGCCAGAGACCGGTAGCTTCAGATCCCTAAGTATGCAGAAGGCCTCTCCCATCCGGCTTCTCGGCACGTCTATTGCCACAGGACAGTGAGGCACCCACGAATCCGGCCGGAACTCCTCCGCCGCCTCTACCCCCTCCTTCCGCAGCATCTCGCAGAGCTGTGTGTGGAGCCCAAGCAGCGCCGAGGTCGGGGTCGGACCCAGAAAGAGAACCCCACTGCCGCCGCTGCCGCCGGGAAATGATGCCACGGAGGAAAGAGAGACCGGGAGGGGTTCGAGGCGGGCAGCGAGGGATCGTACAGAAGGGAGAAATCGGGCGGGGTCGATCGAGGGGCTCGAGAAGAGAGTGATGTGTGGTCGGGCGGCAATCTCAATGAGCTGCGTGCTGATCTGGCGGCGCGCAAGCACGTTCCACGCCTTGAGGACTTGGTTCTCGAGGGCCGGATCAAAGTATAGCTCCACGGCATAGCCTAGCCTCGCCGGAGCCGCCGCCTCCATAGCAACCATCTCCGGCGCCGCGACCGCCGCCGAAGACATCGCGATCGCTCTGGTGTTCGGCGTTCGGTGCTAGGATTGTACGGTCCGGGGAAAGGGGACGGGAAAACGAAGGGAAAATACAAGCCAAGGGTACTTCGTGGGTGATGGATTCGCAGTAGTTAGAGAAGTTAGAGAGCCTTTTCACTCTTGGAAACTGTCCCCTGCTTAAAACAGTGGTTGGGTTACAATGATTTTTGTGTTTTATTAGGATATTTAAGTCAAATAATATAAATCTATTCATAATCAGCCTATATATATATATAATTGATTAGTCATTTAATTTCTATAAAATGTATGTTGGAGCTGACTTGAATTTGGCTCAACTCCTATTTGTTCATATTCTTGATTGTCATTCGCTTCACAGATATGTCGGGGGTTCAAGCGGACAGCACCTCCTCACGGGATAAATTTTTATTGTAAAGATATTTTTGGAATTCAAATTAATAAATAAAATGATAAGTTCTCTTTACTATCTCTCTTTATATTTGATTTATCGTTCCCTAAAAATAGCACCTCAACACAAAGTGTTTAATTATATTGGGACAATTGCCTAAAGATCATGGTATTTTAAATTTTTTTTTTTTTTTTTTTTTTTTTGGGGGGGGGGGGGGGGGGGGGGGGGGCGGGGGGGGGGCTCGGCTTAAGGTGGATCCGCCATTTTATGTGCTTGAGACTCGAATTCAAGTTTTTTTTTATTGATAGTCAAAACTTTCAATGAACTAAGATGAGCTATGTGGTTCAAATGGATTCAAATGCCGCCAACTTCCCTAGTAATATGGAGGTTGTGAGTCATCTTTACAAAAAAAAACTTGTGTGGCATATATTGAATTAAATTGATTAGATGAGAAACAAATATTGATGGGCTAATATATGTGGCATATTTGTGATGATTGTTGTTATTAGATAATTGTTAATGCAAGAAGAATCTCATTTAGACCTAAAGTTGATTGCTGAAGCACAATTGATATTTTTATGTGTAGAGTCTATTTTTATTAGAAGCCATGGCACAAACGCCATTCTCTTGCATAATGGCATCTCCATTCGAACGCCATTCGAAACTTTGCGGCTTGTGAGAGCGTCCAACCGAGCGGCATTCAGAAATCCATTTTCGTGCTTTGAACAGTGGCCCGCACTACTAGCAAACTTTTTTTTTTTTTTTGAAGAAAAAAAGAGAAAGAATATACACATAATAGGTTCAAGAAAAATTGACAACCTAAACCAACCAGATTGGGCATGTTTAGGCAGAGCCAACCCAAGCAGCAGTGGACTGACTAATTCAATTAATATGGAGCCATTTATCATACAACATTGTAACTACTTTAATGTTATATAAAATTTCATATTTAAAATATGTCCTCTGGTATGGTTTATGGTTGTCATAGCTATTATGATTGTATTATGCTATATGATATTATGTTATTTAACAAATACAAAACTTATTCAAACATTGAACCAAAATTCTTCCAAATTGCAATTCAACTATTATCTATATTTTACTAACAACATTTTACGCAAACTTTATTCAAATCATGTTCCAATTTTGATCGAAAATTTTCTTTTTTAAATAACAATGTTTAATTAGGGTTCGAAGAATGTTCAATTATTGATCAAATTTTTATAGAATATAATTTCAAACTTAATCAAATTTTATTCGAATTTATTTAAATCAAATTTGATTGCAATGGACTGAAAAGATATAACTATACTAAAAATTTTGAAAGACATGGGTATCAAAAGGTATTAATACATATAAAAACCTTAGAAGATATAAATCTCATAAGATATATGATCATTTAAAACCTCACATATAGAGAGAGATAGATCATAATATGTGCATTTGCTAAGCTTAATTATAGACTAAGGCTTTGTTTGAGAGAAGTTTTTTATTGCTTTATAAAGCAGTTTTTTAGTACAAAAAAATTTTGAATTAGAAATTTTGTACTAAAAAAATGTATCATAAAGTAGTAAGGAAGCTATCTCAAATGAAACCTTAGGCTTCATTTTGGATAGCTTTTTTACTGCTTTCTAAAGTAGCTTTATGTACAAAATGTTCTAATTCAAAAAAAAATTTGTACTAAAAAATTATTTCATAAAGCAAAAAAAAAAATTATCCCAAATAAAGCCTAAAACATTCTTAAACTAAGCACATATTCTTGTGATGCTAATAATAATTCTTTGAAAATAAGAGCATCATTCAAAGTAATTAATTAAAATAATCTTAAAGTAAATGTCTTAAAGAGTTTTAAAACCTAAAGCATCATACCTCACATAAAAACAACCACAACATGCATGAAAAATCCAAAATCCTTCTGCTCCCAAACTTTTGTGCTGGATTATGTGACTCTAATACAGATTTTTCTATAAAATTTAAATTTATAAACAGCCTAGAAGATTTATGTTGATGTACAGTAGTCTTCTATGTAATCCTGCCAAGTGCCCAAGTATTAATCAAATCAGCAAAATCAACTGAAAAAACAAATAAACAAATATATAAATTTTGTTTAAACAGAATAAGCAATAGAGACCGGTCAAGGGCGGATCCACCTTAAGTTCGGGTGGCAATTGCCCTCCCTAAAAAAATAAAAATAAAAAAATCTTTATTATATGATTCTTTATGTAATTTGTCCCCGTTTATCTATTTTTTAGTCTTTATTATAACGGTTTTTAGGCAATTGCCCAACATAACTAAACATATTGTGTAGAGATGTCTTTAGGTCGAACCCTGTCAGGATATTTATGGAAAAAGTCTACAAAGTATGGGCTGCAAAGTCTACAAGAAAAGCATCTCAATCACATTTTTAGGCTTCGTTTGGGACGGCTTTCTTACTACTGCTTAAAATGATTTTATAGTATAATTTTTTAAAAAAATTTGTAATAGAAAGCCGCTTTATGAAGGAGGAAGAAAGTCGTCCCAAACGAAGCCTTAGTGTGCGTTTCGATCTAATAGGAAACAAAAATCTATTATTTTATCTAATGTAGAGGCAAACATAGCGTTGCAGGCAGCAATAATATGAGGATTATGGAATTAGTTTAGATTGCATTCTAATTAAGCGTAATAACACTAGTAGAATCAACTAAGAACCTCATTCTATAATAAAAAATCAAACACAATGAGCTAGATATCACTTCAATCAAGATCATATAACTCCAAGCCATGGTGAAATTTAAGTTTCGTTGAGGACGACTTTTTTACTGCTTCTTAAAATAAGCTTTTTAATACAAAAATTAAAAACTTTGTACTAAAAAGCTGCTTTAAGAAACAATAAAAAAATCATCCTAAACGAAGCCTTAATTTCAGAAACATACAAAATGCACACAAAATTGCCTAATTCTAGACTTTGAACATGATATGATTGGAGGTTGTGCATACAAATGGTGCGATGTTCTTTAAGCAATGCACATGCATTCTATGAAAAAAAAGCTAGAAATGGGCTTTTTTTATGATATATATATATATATGTATATTGAACGAAATATATCAAATAATGCTTGGATGTTGGCTGGATAATTAAACCATATCGAATGGTAGTTATTAAGTAACTTTTTAACATTTGCAAATAGCCTAATAGTATTTTCCTAATGACACTTACATGTGCCCTCCCACACGAAAAATTATTATGTCCGGACAAATACCGAGTGATATCGAGTGATATCGTAGCACCTGCGATTCAATGAACGAAAACAGGGGAACAAGCTAGATAAACTCCAGGTCACTGTGGAGTTGATAGTATTTATTGTAAAATAGAAAACTCTGTCTTCATCCTTATATCTCTGGATACTATATACCAGCTTTTACTATAAGTGTAAACAGAGGAAAAGGAAAATCTTTTACTATGTAACTAACTAAAGCAAACTAAGTAGTGGAACTTGAATTCAAAATAACGGAATTAGCTAGCATATGTTAAAATGGGATAAGATACTTCGTGGAACTGCATAAGCCGAGGATGCTCCGCATCACCGAGTGCTATATCGAGTACGGTACCGAGCGCCCAAGTGATGTGGCGCTTTGTTATTGGTCTCTGGATGCATTCGGTGTCCGGACATAATAATTACTCCTAATGAGTCAATAATATTTTTCAAAATTTATCTTTAAAAATAGAGTGTTGCCTACATACTCGCATGAGCTTGAAAAACATAGCTCCATAAATCAACTTCATAGGTAGTGGTGGTGGTTCACATTGGACAAGAGATGGGCAATTCGGGCTTCTTTGGGGTTTTGCATTTAATGCAAAGAGAGTATCAAGCAAACAAGTGGAATAAATGCTTTTGTCTAAGGCAGACAAGCACGGGTTGGGAAAGTCGCTGATCACTTGACAACTTCATTAAGGATCAGAACATATCAAACTTGTGCTCTTTCAATGGTCCAGGCTCAGGGAAGGGTCTCCAACCTCTCTTGGCTACATGACAGACACTTGCTCAAGGCATAATCACAGGATCTCTCTCTGTAGCTAAGTCAGCCAAGTAAATTAAAAAAAAAAAATAATAATAATAAAATATGTACAAAACACTAATTAAATGACCACCTCAAATAAATGGTATAAAAATGATGATGATATTTGTTGCGGGCTGAAAGATACGCGGCGATAGAGTTTGTAAATTTGCGTCTGAGCGTTGTACGAATATTCAGCACAAAAACAGAAAAGAGAATGAACACCATAATTTTTACGTGGAAAACCCGAAAGAGGGAAAAAACCACGGGGCCACGCCCAGTTGAAATAATTCCACTAGTGTTTGTTTGAAGTACAAAGATCGATTCGTCTCACAAGTTGAGACGATCAGTTTTACAATCAGCTCTAACAAAGTTTACTAAAGTTATGCAAAATCCGCGTCGTTTCCCGAAAATCCGACAGGTTCCGGCCTTATTCAGGCGGCGGGAAAAGCTCCGGCGTGGTCGAGGAGGAGGAAATTCCCCTTCCCTTCTCTTATTTCCCTTCCTTCTCTCTCTCTTCACTTTAGTCCCCTTTGTGAAGATGTGAGGGCTCTATTTATAGTTTTCTGGAGTGGCATAGCTCGTAATAGGGCGTGAGTCAGGGGCGAATAGGGAGTGGTCGAATGGACGGCCATATTGAATCTTATGATTGTGCACCGTTTGTTTGGACATTTGAAGCGCCTTAGCGATTTGTCCGGAATTTTCAAATCTTAGGGCTTGTTGGGA